ATTCAGTTGAAATAAGCTGGGGGGTCTAATCTGCAGGTGATCCAACCCCCTATCCTCCGACCCACATTGTGCCATTGCCAGAATATAATGTTTCCTTCATTATTATTCATTGTCCTCCATGCTAGCAGCTCGCAGCGTCGGGTGTCAACACATGGTATGACGTAACACCAGATGAGAGAAGGGTAAACAAAAAGCAACTAAGGAAAAACCTACTTGACTGAGGTCTTATTGTCGACACTGCTGATGAGATTGGGAGGGAGAAAGACGGGGAGAGAAAGAGAAAAGTTTGCTGTTGTTAATAATACTGTATGTCTGTATACTACATATGTTTACATTATAGGTTTTCATTAGTGGTAAGCTTCATCCACACAGGCAAAGCGAAATGAAAACTTGCAATGATTCGAACCTCATCTTGAGTTTATTTTAATATACTCCAACCAGATTCGATGGTAAACAGTGACACACGTACTGTAGATCTCACACAATAATTTTTTTACGGACATTGGAAATTTTGACCCACTTCAAGGCCTGAGGGGGGCATAAATATAATAAAATAATAATAATGATGATAATATCAATAATAAAAATCAATAAAATTTTAACAACATAATAATAATAATAATAATAATAATAATAATAATAATAATAATAATAATAATAATGCTAATAATAATAATGCTAATAATAATAATAATAATAATAATAATAATAATAATAATAATAATAATAATAATAATACTACTACTACTAATAATAATAAAGCGCCATAAAAAAATCATTAGTGAAAAACGATATATGTATGTTGCGTTGTCAAAGTAAGAAAAACAATTGAGACTTGGCAATAGTGCTTAAATGAGGCAGAAAGTCAGTTCAGCAACCTGGGACTTGGTCACAATATTCGTGATGCCATATGGCAGCAGGGTCTACCATTAGACAATACATTATGCCTCCAATATCTTCCCAGGCAGTAGTACCTCCCTGTTTGATAGCTGCCTACTGCCTACAAATACTCGCATTATAATTTCCACACGAAGTCTTGATATAATTGAAATGGACCAAGAACCGAAGGGCAACAGGGGAAGTCAGAGGTCACTGACACTCCCAGGAAGACACAATGCTAGAGATGACGTCACTGAGGTCAAGCGTTATAGCTCGTCTTCATACTGAATTTTAACAGTCTCAACTGCCTTTCTTGTTCATTTTTTTTTAACTACACTTATTTTCTTTTCCCAGCCCAAAACAAAAGTATGTCTTATATAATTTCAGTACAGGTATAGTGAAGACCTGGCCTTGGTTGAGCAATTTAATGGTTATCATAATTCATAAAGGAAACAATTCAGCTGGCGAGTACAAACAACACCAGTGGCAGCGAAGTTTTGTCCTGTTGGTACTCATAAGGCGTACCACTTCTCCCTTTGTCTTTGTTGTTGGATTTTTATTTATTTTTTTTTTACGGGGAATAGCTCACTCGGGCACAGTAAATTAAATTAAAAATAGAAAGGAAAAAATATATTAATCTATACCACGAAGATGCCGGAGAACGCAGAGGGTCAGCGTAGATGGTGATAAATCTGAGTGGGGCCGTGTAACCAGTGGGGTTCCCCAGGGGTCAGTACTAGGCCCACTCTTGTTCATAATCTACATAAACGATCTAGATACTGGGATCAGCAGTGACATAAGCAAGTTTGCGGATGACACCAAAATAGGGCGGCAGATTAATTCAGGGCAGGATGCAAATGCATTACAGGAGGATCTAAATAAACTGCAGAGGTGGTTTGAAAAATGACAAATGAAATTCAACACCAGCAAGTGCAGTGTGCTTAATATTGGAAGAACAAATACTGACAATGTATACAGCCTTAACAACATCAACCTAGAGAAGTCGACTTGTGAAAGAGACCTAGGGGTACTTGTAAGCCCGGACCTACGGCCTAGAAAACAGTGCGTTAATGTTCGAAATAAGGCAAACAGAGTATTGGTTTTATATCTAGAAGTGTAAGTAATAAGAGTGCAGAGGTCTTATTGCAACTATATCTTGCGCTAGTCAGGCCGCACCTCGATTATGCGGTTCAGTTCTGGTGCCCTTATTATAGAATGGATATCAATTCACTAGAGTCGGTGCAGCGAAGAATGACGAAAATGATTCGGGACTTAGAAACCTTCCATATCAGGATAGGTTAAAGAAACTTAACTTGCATTCCCTAGAAAGACGAAGAGTGCGGGGAGATATGATAGAAGTATTTAAGTGGGTGAAATGAATCAATAAAGGGTATATAGATAAAGTTCTTATAATATCCGAGCAGGATAGGACTCGGAGCAACGGATTTAAGTTGGATAAGTTGAGGTTTAGGAGGGAGATAGGAAGAAACTGGTTCACAAATAGGGTGGTGGACGAGTGGAACAAGCTTACCAACTTTGTAGTAAGTGCTGGAACTCTGGAAAGTTTCAAAAGGAGGCTAGATAGATTCATGGATGATAGAGAGTGGTTGTAACTCTCGACAGGAGCTGCCAAGCACAGGCCAACCGGCCTATTGCAGACTCCTTATTTTCTTATGTTCTTCTTATGTTCTTATGAAGTGAGACAGATTGTATGAGTATGGAAACACAGAAAAAGGCAGAGCATTCCACAGTTTGGCTGTGTGAGGAAAGAAGGATGTACTATAACGGGTTATTCTAGTGTGACCGACAACCACAGAGAAAAGGTGCTAGACGAGTGTTACGAGCCCTCGACCTTGCCCGCGGTACACAGGATGCCAAATCCACCGAACATTGCCCGTTAAAGTACCTGTAAAAGAGAGAGAGTGACGCAAAATTGCGGCAAAGAAAAAAGGAAGAAAGATTATCAGCTAAAGGAGGAGAGTTGATAAGACGAAATGCCTTTGATTCCACCCTATGTAACAGTTGGACAGAAGAAGTGCCACCCCAGATATGAGAGCAGTACTCCAAGTTAGGACGAATGAATCCCTTATATACTTGAAGCAACTGCTCAGGAGTAAAGTAGCTACGGCATCTGTACAGCATTCCTAGCTTTCGGGAAGCAGCTTTAGCAATGTTGTGGAAGTGTGGATTCCGTGACATATTAGAGGAAATGGTGAGGCCTAGCATATCTATTTTAAAATTTGGCAGAATGATTGCGTCCTGAAATGTGATTGGTGGGAGATCATCTAATTTGGAAAGTGTAATTGGTAAATACTGTGTTTTATTACCATTGAATTTAACCAGGTTTTTACCTCCCCATTCGGAGATGCTGCACAGATCCGCATTGATAGATGAATTAATGATATCGGCTCCAGAAACAGATCTAGTTTGAGAATTAGGGGGAAGGGAAAAATGTGAAGAGTGAAGAGTAGAACCATCAGCGTAAGAATGGATAGAATTAGTTGTAGTGTGTAGTAAATCATTGATAAAAAGAGGAAAGACAGTAGGTGAAAGAACAGAACCCTGTGGCTACTTCGCCTTTTGGTTATTTCGGCCGGAGCTTCTGTTTTCTTTCTTCTCTCCTGGCATTTCTTTCTTAATCAATCTTCTTTCCTGGTTTTCTTTCTTCTCCTTCGGTCTTGTTGTTTTGTTTGTGTGGCTATGATGATGATGATGACGATGATGATGATGATGATGATGATGATGCCGATGATGATGATGACGATGATGATGATGCCGATGATGATGATGATGACGATGACGATGATGATGATGCCGATGATGATGATGCCGATGATGATGATGACGATGATGATGATGCCGATGATGTGGTGTGTGATATGATGCGTCCGTGACAGTCCAAATGAAATGGATAGTAAGATGATATAGCTCGTGTCTTTTTGTTTGAATTATGTTAGCTGTCAGTTTTTACTTTGTACAACCAATCCAAAAAGTATCAAGATTCCAATCGTCAACATTAGGCGAAGACAAATCCAACCCAGCTAATATACAGCATGAACGCGTCTAGATTCAGGATATTTTTTTTGCATTGGCTGTCATGTGCGTATTGTTTGTAATGATATGTCTGCGATCACGAGGTTGAGTGTTAGCGCGAGTGTTACATTAAGTATTTTTACACTACTTTGTGATGTACTCCGGCTAAAACCAATGGTCAGCAGAGGGGAACGTTGCGTGCCAGTGTCGACCCTTCTCCCGCATCTCGTCATCCGAGCGTGTCGTTGACGTCAAGGAAAATATGGACGATAATTTGATGATCCATTGCTGTCCCTCTTCATCATAGCGACGTCCGTGGGAAAATCTAGGGCTACTGTAATTATCTCATTCTTGGCTAACAAACCGGATTAGACTGGTATATAAGCGACCCTCCCTTTTGTTTGGTTTGAAGAATCACGTAACATTCTTTATTATTCATAAACCCATTGAGTATACGTAACGCTTTTAACAATGATAGCGAGAATGTTATTATGTTCATTATTGTGATGTCTGTATGATGTTCAGATTAATGAATAAACATGAACTGCTGAGTACGTACCTTTATTCGTAAATATACTCAAGTTTGGGGAGATTAAAACCAGAGGTCAGATATTCAAAGGTTCTTACGATGAATATCTCTCTTAAATAAAGATGGAAGGATTCACTTAAATGGCTTAAACACAAAACTTTAATATCAATATATAGTATAAAAATCATACGGAGGCTCTATCTGAACTACTTATATTTACAACTGTTAATGGTAATTATTATCTATTTAAGGTAGACTCCGTATGATTTAAATGCTATTCTTGAATGCCATTTTGTGTGTTTTAACTTAACCAGTGAAAAACTATTCATAATTTCTTTGATACGAGGAATATACTGCAATTTTGTGAATCTGTTGACACCAAGTGTGTTCTTTGGTCGTGTGAATTAAACATATAGATACAATTAATGTTTCGTCTAGACTTTCGGCCTCTTATTACTTTTACAGTCCATGCCATTGTTCTCGATTTTGTAACATACTCATCACACAGCCCACTCCACCACGATGTTAAAATAATAATATCATCAAACTTTTTTTCCAGACCGGTGATGAACATCAAGTACGGTCAGGTGCAGCAAAGTGACTTACAACCCAGGCCGCCACAACACTCCTTCGAAACCCAACGTCGTACCACTAGCCAGAACAACAAAATGTCTGCAAAAGCTAACCTCGAGAGCGACCCTCTCCTTGACCACTTCTACAACATGAACTTCGGCCGTGCCCAGGTTCGTAGAAAACGGGAATTTTTGTCAAGCCTGATTTGCTGGATAAACTCAAGAAAATACTTAAACTCCCGTCTGTTCATTTAAGACGAAGGCGTTGGTCCTGTTTCTCCTTTCTTCGTTTATTTGTTTAATAATAATTCACTAATTGGCAGAGAAAGTAATATATCTTATTTGTTATGACAGTATTGCACAACCGTGAGATTTAGCTTATTCAATGCACCAATGGACCAAAATTTATGCGGTGCACAAAAGAGACATTTACTTTAACGAACAATACATTTAACTATTACACTCGCACACATTCCAGGAAATTGAAAGTGGACAATTCTCTCTCTAGCTAACGATCCCACTATCAGTTGTGATATTCCCTAAGGTCACTTAATGGAAGATTAACACGCTCTTGACTTGTACACGAACCTTTGTACACTCGCCCCTGCCGACCTTGTAATAACGAGCAACCCATTAACAGCTGGTGCTTATACTATCTGGAGATCAGCACCGGCCCTGTACACACACACACACGTACACACACACACACACACACTCATGTACACACACACACACACAAATAATAATTGAAGCCCCCCGAAATCAAGGATGGCCGGCCCAAGGGCCACCTTGGTGTGAATTTGTTGAAGGTGTAGCCAACACAACAACCACACCCTAAGTTAACGAGCTGCATGACCCAGTGTCCGAGAAGACCGGACAACTCACCAACTGCACTGGCTAATCATTACCCCGGAATAATCCGCAAATCGATTAACATTCAGGTTCCCAATTACTGCTGGGTAGACAGAGGCAATTGTCGTAAAGAAACTTCCCATAGTTTCACTCAGCCCGAGGATCCGCTCGCTTGTGAGGTGAGAATGCTGACCATTACACAACGAGTAGCACACACACATATACGTCAAATACAATCCGTGCAGTTCTCTTCTTTCTCAACTCGTCTAACCCAGTACAGTATACACAAATAGACACAACACACAGACGACACTGTGACGTCACTTCCTGTACACACGACTTCGCTGGGAATAACGTTAGTGAACCTTATAAGAACTCACTTTTTGTCCAGTATTTATTTATTTTGGTTTTGTATATTTTCATTATGGTAATTATACGCATCTGTGGATTATTACTATTAAGCATTGACGTAAATACCAGGCCCGTGGGAGTCTATATGTATTTAGCAGTGATTATTATTTTTTGTTTTTACAATTTTCATCTTGTTTGTCTTATATTGTTTATATCATTCTCTTTTGTTAGCTAATAGTTGTCTTTTGTTAGTTTAATTCTCTTTTATTATATAGTCCACTCGTTAATAATTATTTATAATCTCTTTTAAATTCATTCTCGTTAAACAGACTAACGTTTATATCCGGTCTTGGTGTTGTGTTGCTGTCGTTAATCACTACATGTAATGTCATTTAAATTCGTTTATTGCCTTTATAATATATAACCACAGTTCTTGAGACCTCGTTATGGTGGTGAAACCAGAGCGCTTAATTACCTAACTGGTGTCGCAATCAATTTTGTCTATCTCCTGTGTGTAGATAATTAATCAACACACACCCTTATCAGTGCCTAGCGGTATACAAACTTACTAATGTGGTGTGAGAATGAGTCACTGGTTGGCTGGTTGGTTGGGTAGTTGGTTGGAGTCATTATACTATACTATACTATACTATACTATACTATACTATACTATACTATAATATACTATACTATACTATACTATACGACCTTGAATTATGTAATGGTGTCTTTGAATCATTCCAAAACATAGCTATATCGATCGGATATCCTCAAACCCACAAGAAACGAGTCCAAGATCATTAAATTTGTGCCAGCGGTCTTAGATATCGAGTGATATTGGTGTTTTAGGGTAAAAATGAACTTGGCCGTAACTTATCATGTGACCTTGACCTCAAAACATTCCGAAACATAGTTAGATTGATCAGACATCCTCAAAGCTATAAGAAACGATCACAAAATCATCAAAATCATCCCAGTAGTTCCTGAGACATGGCGTTTTATGGTTTGGGCTGTGGAATTGAGGCAGACATTTTGAATTTGCACAAAATGGCCGCCAGAGTTAAGTCCCAATGTGTACCTATCCTGGAAATGTTTCTATATGGCAAAGGGTAAATTCCCGACACATTTCACCCATTACCAAGTTGTGTTACAAAATGTTTATCTGCTTCTTTCAGTGGTACGTCTACACCCTCTCATGGATTGCCGCCGTAATATCTGCCCCCGTTTACGTCGACTCCATTTTCCTCATAAGGATACTCCCACATAGGTGAGTCTCTCCTTTTCTCTCTCTATCTGTCTATCTCTCCTCTATTTTTTTATCTCACTAGTCGTTGATACTGTGATGTGATGTGCCAGGTCTCCGTCAGGCAGTGGTGGTGGCAGATATTGGTCATGCAAAGGTCCTTGAAAGAAAACCCGGACCAATTTTACAGTATTGGTCTATATATTCTCGACATGTAAGAGTTCACACTGATGCTGAGTCGAGTGGTTAATAAGTTCACAGCACTCACACTTGGCCGAGGGGGTGGGGGGGTGTGAGAGGATCCGCTGTCTTAAGGGTTGTTAGTTCTCCAGAGCTTTCCAAGTCGAACCATCTATGAGTGAGTACCTGAGTTTTATTTGGGGAAGTGAAGGTGGTCAAGTGCAGTGCCTGTCATATTGCCCCTAACAGCCCATCATTCATATGAGACTCACTTACAATTTTAACATTTTAGACTGAGTAGAGAGTTAATTCCTCACAGGTAAGTCTGATGAATCTTTCCCTCACAGGTAAGTCTGATGAATCTTTCCCTCACAGGTAAGTCTCCCAAGTGAGTCTGTGCCCATATGAAGTCCCGTTTAGGTGGTGTTTATTGACGCCTGGGAATGCTCACGCCTCTTTACTTCTGAAGGCGCTGTTTACAAGTGTCTCGGCCAGAGCACTTGAGCACCTGAGTACTGCGTGGGCTAAGGTAAACAGAGATAGTGGTGAGAGGGAGGGAAGGATGGAAGGAAGGAAAGAAGAAGGAGACAATAGAGGGAGGGAGGGAAAGTGGAGAGAGGGGAGAGTGGAAGGAGAGAGAGAGAGAGAGAGAGAGAGAGAGAGAGAGAGAGAGAGAGAGAGAGAGAGAGAGGTGATATCATCCATGCTTCGTGTCAGAAAATCAAAACATTCCTGTACATTGTATTCATAAACACACGACCACAGTAGCGTTTGGGATAACATAAGAAGATGATCCCGCAAAACTTAATCAGATCACGTGGTGTACTGAGACCTCAAAGTGTACTGTGGTCATGTGGGAAACACGTCAGGTTAGGTTAGGTTAGGTTAGCATCAAGCGAAATAAACTGGGGTGTCTGATTTTCAGGTGATCCATAAACAACAACAATACAAAAAATTAGCTGTACAAAATCCGTTATGTGTTAAGTCGAGTCAAAATATTCCTGTTTTGATGGAGAATACTTCATCAAATTTAATTCTTTAAGGTGACCTTTCTTGTCATGAGCTGGTTGTTTACTGGTGCAGGGTGGTGGTAGTTTGGATGGTAGTGGTGGTGAGGATGGTGGTAGTCATGGTGGTAGTACAGGTGGTGATGGTAGTTATGGTTCAGGATTTAAGGACTGTATTGTTCCCTACTTATTGTTGTTCGTCTCGGCAGGGGTCAAGGACTGCGCGTCACCAGATAGGTGGGTGTTTACCACCTGACAGACTGTTATCTGTTTCCTGCAGGTGGCCAGTACATGTACCAGCATCTCCTTATCATAATGGTGTAGAAGAGGCTTTTTTTTTAATGGGTGCGGAGGTAAATATGATTTTTTTTATTCACGTCTTCATTTGTAATAGAAATGTTAGGGATATTTCTTAATTTGAACGACTAGTTCTGTGATCAATTTAGCGAGCAGCTACATGTACGAATTCGGTTTGACAGCATCAACAGCAAAGTGAGTGTTTACAGTTTCCTTGAAGGTGACCCCATCCACCTACACTCAGGATTGAACATTATATTGAGTCAAGTTTGGAGACAATACCAGGTGTCAATCATGTCCAAATCATAGAACATAGTATTGATAATATTTTTGTTGAAAGGTTTAGGATATCGTGCTCAAGAGGTTACATCATCGTACACAAGGTGTTACATAATCATATTTAAAGGGTAAGTCATCGTACTCAAGGGGTTGTCATTGTACTCAAGGGGTAAAGTCATTGTATTCAAAGTGATGTCATCGTATTCAAGGGTTTAAATCATCATAATCCAGAGTTTAAATCATCCCAATCAAGGGTTTAAATCATCGTAATCAAGGGTTTAAGTCATCGTAATCATGACGTTAAATCATCGTAATCAAGCAAGGGGTTTTAAGTCATGGTACACAAAGAATGTGTTTTATGACGTCACAGTCTTGACTGACCTCGCTATGTGTTGATTCCAGGAGCACACTTTAGGAAACACTTTGAGGGGGAGTATCCGCTATCATCACTACTGTATACAGGTTAACCAATCCTTCAGTATTACCAGAAAAAAGTTACTGAAGGACTGTGAGAGAGGGATTCCCGTGTTATAACTGGGACGACGTCTTGGCTCCTAAGTGACCAAAAGTCTTGAAAAGTCTCGATCCGGTCTTACGTGATAATTATTTGGGAATTGCAAGTCTTAGTAACCATACAAGTCAGTAAGAATGTTTAGGGTGACTAAAATATGTTAGTTTAGGTTAGGTTAGGTTAGGTTAGCTTAGGTAGTAATGTTAAGGTGTCTAATTATCAGGTGAGCCTAATCTTACGGGGATCCAAAACATCCACTGCCACTGCATTTTTTTCTCTGCAGGTTATGGTTACATAAACAAAAAAATAACAGCTCTTCCCACTACTTTATTATGCCATGTGTAACCGCCAATCAGGCGGTTAGAGGATTTAGTGAAACTTGTGACTTTGGACTCAAACATTATAATTTGGTCAAACCTGTTGGATACAATTCTTTTTAGTATTTCACATAAAACATACATAGGCAATCACATAAATGTCTAATCCAATATATATTTACATAACAATCATAGCTATGTAATCAGTCTAATCTTAACACTTATAATGAGTACTTAAGTTTCCATATTTTTATGACGTCACAATGATAAACGAAGCAATGGACACAGTCTACCAGTGTACACAATAAGTACCAGTTAAACTTACGTGTTGAAAGTCTCAAGAGAAACCAGGTTAGGTGTTGCCTCTGTGGTCTGAATAGCTACAGTGATACACCATGCCGCCTCACCAACCCTCTCTCGATGGGTGAGGGCTGCTGCATCAGGTGATTATACACAAACAAGCTCCCTTACTACCACCCAACACCTCACCTCCTCTAGGTCTCTCATCTTCAACCATCTCAACACTCTACATACTGTTAACGGGCAGACACACCCAATAAACATGACATGACTTACAGCCTAACATAGTGTTTGTTTATGTGTCATCCTACTCATTACTGCTTGCGGTAACACCATGAGATATGGTATTGTAGGGTTACGTGATTTTATGTTGTCTAGCACTCAGGAAAGACAGTCTGGTGCTGGAGATGCCATGTGGCGAGAAGCTTGCCCAGAAGACACGTTCAGTGAGTAGCGTGCTTGAGGAGGTATCTGTGCAAGAGCTTTGTTAGAGGAGATGTTGCGAGTTGCTGTCCTCCAGGTTGAATGAGAGCTGGACAGTGAGGAGCTTGCTTGGAGGAGGTGTTGGGTGTTTAGGCACGTAGGGCAGAATGAATCTCAATTTCAGTTCAAGTTTAGAAGCTCCAAAAGTTGTTGGTAGCGAAAGTCAGAGTGGGGAAGATGACAGAGGAAGGAGCAGGAGGTTAGGAAGAGATTTGTAGTGGGAGAGATAGTGCCGTGGCTTTACACGACTGCGTTTATTTGGTTAGCACATCGTGCACGTATTTGGTTTTTGTCTGTGTTGGGTGTGTGATTCTCGGGTCACCACTCCTCCGGATTGTGTCAGTTCAAGTTTAGAAGCTCCAACAACTTTCCTTGAATACGAATTCGCAACCTTTCGATTTACAACAGGTACCTACTTACTGCTAGATGAACAGGGACCAAGGGGACTAGGAAGAGTCAAACAACATAAGTATAATATCAGAACAGCATCTGAAAGCAGTGCCTTGTTCGTTCATGTTAGGAATAATAATCATCCCATTGCTTGGGAAAAAAGCTTTTGAGTATTTAAATCATCTTGTGTTACAGAAAGACTTCTGGTTGAAGCTAGTTTGATTAAGGAATTAAAATCAGTAAACCTTAGTGATGGTCAGTTCAAAACTGATAATATGTTACATAAATTTATTTGTCAGTGGCCCAAGGTTAAAAATGCTTTGAAAACCTTTGATCTAGATGTAAGATAGTTATTTAGTGGGTCCCTTATTTTTGACCTGACCTGACTAGTCACGTCACCCCCCTTCTCTTAAGCTCCTCTACGTGTGTGTTGGTGTGGGGATTAGTGGATGACATCATTATGACCTGACCTCATGTTTTTGAGGTCATCCTGTATATTTAAGCCTCTCTCTGTCCATATAATCCAGTTGCCTCTGAAGATGTCTTGAATAAAGACGAAAGCTAAGGTACTCCGTTGTTTCCCTTATCCCGTGTGATTTTATCAAGATATATATATATATATGCAAGTAAATCACTGTAGGTGCGCGTGATCTAGGTATATGCTGATAACCACAAGGAAAGAAGAAAACACGAAGTTCCCAAGCGCTTTCGTGTAATTCACATCTTCAGGGGTGAGTACAGACTAGAGAGAGTAATACAAATCAAGGTGTATATATACAGAGGAGGGTGAGACCAGGTCCACAATGGTCAGGTATTAGGTAATGACCCTACTAATCTTTAAATAGCACACAACGGTTGGTGGTCAGGTCAGATGGTCAAGTGACCCGGCCTTCTCACCTGATCACAAATCTTCTTAATTACAAAATTGTCCAGCTTGTACATGCCGTTACTCAAATTCATGTTGAATGCTTCGGTATGTTTAATAAGACTAGATTCTATGATGTTCCTACTGTCAATTGACTTACATGGTAATATTGAGGAGGCATTATCCCAGTCAATGCAATGCTTGTTATCCCTCAAATGAACAAACAGAGCATTGGATTCCTGGCCTGTCCTAACACTGTATTTGTGTTGTTTAATTCTAGTTGCAAGATCTTTACCTGTCTGGCCTAAGTAAAACATATTACATTCCTTGCAAGGAACTTTATAAATGCAACCAATTGTGTTGTTGGGGGAGTTCTTGATTAACATTTGTTTAAC